ATGAGAATAAAACTTTGATTTGAGACCCATGTTAGGCTTCTGACCTATAGAACTTTAAGATAATAAATTTATGTTGGTATAAGCCACTAGATTTGTGGTGATTTGTGGTGATAGTAATAGGAAATGAATACAATTCACATCTGTTGAATATAAGCTATGAGTTAGGCAAAATACTAGGAACTTACGTTAATAAAATGCCTCAAATTAAACCCATTTTAACAAATGAGGAAACAGAACCTTGAAAACTTGCTTGAAATTACAGTTGGTTATTAGTAATTATGAGACTTGAACCAGGTTCTATTTATAGGTGCATATGACACCACTATAAGGTATGGAGAATGATTTAAAAATCAGGGCAGAATGAATATATCCAAGTCAATTACATTCTTCAGAGTTGTTCCTTACACACAGATTCCAGCTTAATTTTGGCAAGTCTCTTTAATTTTGGCTTTCAAATCAGTTATGAGTTACAATCATATGGAGGTGTTTTATTTAAATTATCTAACTTGATTGTGCATCTTATTCACAAAATTTCTTGTTGAATGGCTTCCAAAAAATCAAATCCATCCTTAAAAGACAAAGGTTTGCTATCAACAAACTGGATATTAAAAAGATACAGACATTGCCAAAACACAAAACTCCCAAACATGCTTTGAATAGAGAGGCCATCACTAGAACAAGGGAAGATTCTGGCCGGGGGCAAAGCTTTTTGGATCTGTAAATTCTGTTATGATTTTTTCTCAAAATAGAAATCTCAATCCTTGTAGCTGAACCATAATTTTGTTTTTTTTTTGTTTTCTTAACTGTTTATTTTTTTTATTTTTTTTTATTATAAATTAATTTTTATTGGTGTTCAATTTACCAACATACAGAATAACACCCAGTGCTCATCCCGTCAAGTGTCCCCCTCCGTGCCCGTCACCCATTCACCCCCACCCCCCGCCCTCCTCCCCTTCCACCACCCCTAGTTCATTTCCCAGAGTTAGAAGTCTTTATGTTCTGTGTCCCTTTCTGATATCTCCCACACATTTCTTCTCCCTTCCCTTATATTCCCCTTCACTATTATTCATATTCCCCAAATGAGTGAGAACATACACTGTTTGTCCTTCTCCGATTGACTTACTTCACTCAGCATAATACCCTCCAGTTTGAACCATAATTTTGTAAATAAATATATTCTACATCCCCTTAAATACTTCCATGTGGCTCTTAAATTGTTTCCAGATACTCTGTCATCATCATCATCATACATGAAGGCAGTTGTTCTCCACGTTGATGGTACTTTGGAATCACTTGGGGAACTTAAAAAAAGCTGAAGCTGGAGTTTGCCCTTTGAGAGTCTTATTCAACTGGTCTGGGATGCAGCCTGGCCATTAGGAGTTTTAGAATCTCTACAGGTGGTTCTAATGAGCCAGGTTGTGACCCACTTGCCAAAGCTAGGGTTCTAGTTCTCACTTATCCTCTCATCAACTCTGTGTCCTTGGACAAGACATGTAGCTTCTCTGAGCCTCAATTTCCCCAAAATGGAGGTAACTCTCTTCTCTACCTGCTTTATACACTTACCAAGAGGATCATGGAAGACTGTGCTTATGGAAACACTTTGCAAACCAGATATTTTTATCAGGACTATTATTTTGATTGTTTGACAATCAAACATATAGATAAGCTTCTTAAAAGTAGAAAAGCATAATCATTTTTGTTACTGTTTCATGCCCAACAGTAGAATTTGTATACTGTCCTTTCGTCTCTCACACCACTGCTTCTTTCTTTAAATCCTCCATCTAGCTCTACACCTGGAGTATATGCTCTACTCAGCATTATTGGATACTCTTTGACTCCAGGCCCATCTTCTGATGGGGCCCTAGGCTCTTCTCAGTTGGTACATCCAGTGCTCTTTTGTGACCTATTAAATTGGCTCTTGGCTGTCTTGGTCTGAACTCTTAGCCCACTGGCAATATCATTCTCAGATACTTAACCTATCCTCAAGCTTAAGTCCTGAATATTTTTGCTGATTCTTTCCCTGTTTCCTTGAAAATTAGTATATGCTATGGGTACAGCTAAGACACTTTTTTGCAATCTTAAATCTGGGGTTAAAGTCATTGTTTGAGTTCTTTGAGGCCTGAGGCTGCTATCGGTATCAACAGGAAGAGCAGGACTATCCAGGAATGTGCAGCATTTTTTTCTGCAAAAGCCCATCTCATTACTTCCAGGAGGCACACCTCACCACAAGCTTGTGGGATTTGTCACTTTTTAATCTCCACTTTGCTGAGGAGCAAAGCAATATGCAGGAAGCCTAGGTGTGTCTTCCTGTCCATGCTCAGAGTTGGCATTGGAATTCATGAGCTACCTACTGTTTTCTTCCAGTTCTTGTGTTTTGTCACACCTTGGTCTGTGCCAGTGTCTCATCTCTCTACTTCACAATGAGGTGGGATGGGTCCAGAAGACTTAAGTCTACTTATTTGTGTCATTTTGGACAAGTTCACTTTATTCTCAGATTCTTTATTTCTGATACATGGTGACAATAATGGCATTGAAACATTCAGAGTTTGGGGTGAGGATGGAATACTATATGTGAAGGGTTCTAGTGGACTACCTGATGAGAAAGTGACATATTGCTGCTCATTTATTTCCTGTCTTACTATCTGGGCCTTAGTTTTCTTCTCCATAAATTCAGGTCTTTTTTTAGCTTTAGAGTTCTTTGATTCTTAGGAAATAGATCTTACCTCTGGGGTGAATTTTACAGGACTAAAAGGTCAGGGTGAGGCAAGTAGGCTTTCTCTCAGATTCTAAATCACTTTAGGCTGTGCCATTGTACATTTTGATTTTTTTTAGATGCTAAGAAAAGGCAATATAGGGTGCCTGGGTGGCTTAGTCAGTTAAGTGTCTGGCTTTGGCTTAGGTCATGATCCCAGGGTCCTGGGATAGAGTCCCGCATTGGGCTCCCCACTCAGTGGGGACTCTGCTTCTCCCTCTCTCTCTGCTCCTCCCCCTACTTGTGCTCTTTATCTCTCTTTAATAAATAGATAAATAAAATATTTTTTTAAAAAGGCAATCTAATTTCCAATCTGGACATATCAACCACCAGCTATGCAAGAGGGCAGCCATTTGCCTATGGAGAAAATAAATAGTGTAATTTGGTTCAAGAGGGTACAATAGAGAGCAGCTAAATGAGAGAGGCCTTTGGACAGAAAGACTTTGGGGCATTGATAGGTTGGGACAGGGCCCCAGTGAGAATCAGAAGCAAAAACTATAAAGAGAGGGGCAATGGGAAGAAAAGAATCTAAGATTTTTCTTTCCCTCACAAAATCAGAGCAACTTCTGTGCCGAATGTTTTCACTATGTTTAGGTATCCAGGCTTAAGGGTTAGACAATGAATTGTTCAAATCCCAGCTCTTCCACTTATTGGCTGTGTCATGGGAAAACTCTGAGTCTTTCTCAATCTGTTAATTTATCTGTAAAATGGGAATAATTTTAATAGGCCAATTTTACAGGCTTGTTGGGAGAGTCAAATGAGAAATGTTCCATAGCACTTAGTGCCTTGTTTGGCACAGAATAAGTTATTCATGAAGTGGTAAGTAAAATCATAAGCATCACCCAAACCACCATTATCATTATGGATGTTAGCACAGAAACACAAGGCTGGGAGATGTCCAGAAAGTGAGTAGAGCCCATTTCAATGCCTGTACAAAAAGAAGGCTTTGGTGGCAATACAACCCAGTGTAGAGAACCTGTCGTCCTCAAGAACCAACCCAAATAAGATAACCAAATCCATAAGATCAGTAACTTATCAGAGAACGTAGGGACAATGGGCCTTCTGTCAACTTCCTATTCTGGCTACCAACTTAATGTTAAAATTTGCATTTTTGTTGATTAATTCATGAATATAATTCTGTGCTCCTAGCATTTGCATATTAGGTAAATGAGGTTTTTATCACCATTGGGTAGGTATGGGCAATGTGCTCAGGGGTCTTCTCAACAGAACTGAATTTTCAGAAAATTCTACATCTGAGCCATCTGGGCCAAGAATAGGAAGGAGGAAGTTTATAGAAATAATCATCATCCCACCCCCAACCATATTCACACACTATATTACTTAAATTTTACAATAAAATGATGAGGTGGGCAGCATATTTTTAATTTAAAAATGAAGAAAATGGGTCAAAGGGAACTCACTTCTCTGAGCTCATGTCATCAGTAAGAATGTGAACTCAGGTAGGCTAGCTTCAAATGTGTGCTTTTCTGTTACCTTCATACTTCCTTTGAAATCTAGACATATCCTTCATAAATGATGTATATTGTGTTGCACAAATAATTTTTTGGAACTTCTGTCTGAAGCTCATGATTTTGTTTCTGTGTAGAACAAAGGACAGATAAAGTGACAAGGAATAGAGATGAAATGAGGAGGGCTACTTCATTAAGATTCTTTGTTGGGCAATAGGAAGACTCCCAAGAGTTTGGAAGTGTCCAAAGGTATCTATCTGATCCCAGAGGTGATAGAGAGGTGCACACTCATCGGAGATGATGCCCACTTCTTAGGGACAACAGAGTGGAGGTGCATTCTCATGGGTTGTGACTTGGTGTGCCTTTTCAGGTGGGCAGAGTCACACCTCTAGGGCCACCTGGGAGACTGTTCACTCCAGACTCTTTCCAGGGAATCTAGTGGCAGAACCTCATGGGTGCGGAGTCCCAAACAACTCCACCCCATGTCCCTCGCTCTCCTCCCCTCTGAGTAATGGGAAGAGCCATTTGGGGTTGTGATGCTCCTGTCTTCTTTGAAGCCATCTGATGAAACTCTGATTTTACCAACCACTAGCACTCAGGAGGAATCTGGTGTGACACAAGCTGAATGGAATAATTTTATGGGTTGAGGGGACTCTTTGGAAGCAACTAACTAGCATATTTTGGAGGAAAAAATTAGCTGAAGCATGGGGAAGGGAAACTATGCTGTATGCCAACCCCCACCCACCAATAAGGGTATAAAAGGACTACGGAGGATGGAGAGACTCAAACCTCACCACATCTAGCTATATTAGCTTACTTGCTCTCCATCACCTCTCCCTGCACCATGCCTTACAACTGCTGCCTGCCCAACCTGAGCTGCCGCTCCACCTGCTCCTCCCGGCCCTGCGTGCCCCCCAGCTGCCATACCTGCACCCTGCCTGGGGCCTGCAACATCCCCGCCAATGTGGGCAACTGTGGCTGGTTCTGCGAGGGCTCCTTCAATGGCAGCGAGAAGGAGACCATGCAGTTCCTGAACGACCGCCTGGCCAGCTACCTGGAGAAGGTCCGTCAACTGGAGCGGGAGAACGTGGAGCTGGAGAGCCGCATCCGGGAGTGGTGCCAGCAGCAGGTGCCTTTCGTGTGTCCCAGCTACCAGTCCTACTTCCGGACCATCGAGGAGCTGCAGCAGAAGGTGAGGGGGTGCCATGTGAGGCTGCAATAGCAGCCGACTGTCCTTGAACAATAAGATGTTCTCAAGTTCAAGTGGCCCTCACAGTAGAATCTTGTTTTCAGATCCTGTGTGCCAAGTCTGAGAACACCAGGCTGGTGGTGCAGATCGACAATGCCAAGTTGGCCTCTGATGACTTCAGAACCAAGTATGTTGAGACTCTCAGGCTAGGTGACATCTAAGATCCCTATGGCTCTTACATGGTCTCCTGTGACTAATACTTCCTGGAAGGGAGGAGGCAGCCATTTCACCCTTTTCATTTTTCTTCTCAAGCCTGGCCTTATATAAAACCATTTTCAAATAAGAATCCAGATTCATATACTGCATGCTCTTCAGTCAATATGGTCTTTCCAGAAGGCCCCCCTAAGCTCCCAAATTCAGAGACTGACATGAACTATTCTTGGGGAATGGATCGGTTCTTTGGGAATGGTGGTATATTAACCAACAAAATTTAGAGGAGAATGAGAGACTCCATTTCATGAATCCCTATGGGCAACTTCTGGTGTTAGGGTGAGTCAGGGGCCGCTCCAGTCTGTGTGGAGCTTTAGAGAGACAGGAAAGAAAAGAAGCAGAGAACTGTATTATCTCAAAGAGATGGAGACCAACCTATCCACACAAAACACAGTACAAGGGGATGGGATTCTTTCCTGCCTCATCCTCCCAACCTGATGTGTGTAGGTACCAAACAGAGCTGAGCTTGAGGCAGCTTGTGGAGTCAGACATCAATGGCCTGCGCCGGATCCTGGATGAGCTGACCCTGTGCAAGTCTGACCTGGAGGCCCAGGTGGAGTCCCTGAGGGAGGAGCTGCTGAGCCTCAAGAGGAACCACGAGGAGGTGAGAGGAAAAGGGGAAAATAAAAGTAATCTTTAGAGCCAAGCCTTTAGCATCGGCAAGTGGGAGGCAATTACCATCAAGCTTCTTGGGCTGGGATCCTTCTCTGAAGAACTCAAGATCAGCCAGAGAATGATCATGCTATATCCATAGCATGGAATGAGGTGGGGTCCTTATTCTCAAGCAGCTGGATGAGGATTGGGCTGGTGTTGGAGCTGCTGAAGAAGGGCACTCATTTATTGGGCCCTGCTCTCTTCTTGTCACTATTAATTTCTAAATTTGGTGGTAGAGATGGAGGAAAAAAGAAGTAAGACATGCACCCTCTTTTCAATGAGCTCCCAGTCTAGCCTGGGGAGATGCCACGTAAAGACAATGATATAATACAGGCAGAGGAAAAGAAGTACTATATAAGATGTACAAGCAGTATATTCAGGGAATAATCCAGTCTACCTGGAAAGAGATAAGGAATTCTTCTCAGAGGCATGTCATGGGAAGAAAGAAGATTTCACATTTGGGTGTTTCAATCTGGGGGAAAATGCTGAGCAAAGACAAAGAAGTGGTAGAGCAGGTATACTGGGTTTGGCCCATGAGTTGATATGGCTGGGTATGTATTACCTATAGAGATGTGATGGAAAATGAGGTAGGACCTGCACTTGCCAGGGGGTTTGGACTTACTCTTATTGGAAATGTGAGCTTCTTTCAGGTTTTGGGGAAAGAAATTGATGTGATCCCTTTTTGGGTTTATTCCTACATCATATCTGTGCCAGTCTTGGGGAATGATCAGGATATTCCCTTCAGTGCATTTTTGTCAGGGTTGTACTCACTTTCCTACAATAGGAAGATAGACAGCAAATCCATTTCTGTGGCTCATTTATTTCTCTTCTTCCATTAGGAAGTCAACACCCTGCGCTGCCAGATTGGAGACCGCCTCAACGTGGAGGTGGATGCTGCCCCCACAGTGGACCTGAACCGTGTGCTCAACGAGACCAGGAGTCAGTATGAGGCCCTGGTGGAGACCAACCGCAGGGACGTGGAGGAATGGTTCACCACCCAGGTGGGCATCTCAGCACGTGGCCACTGAGGGCCCTTGGCCCCTTGGGGCCCTTGAGGCAGGGTCTGACCCTGTCCTCTCCCCTGTGCTGTTTCAGACTGAGGAGCTGAACAAGCAGGTCGTGTCCAGCTCGGAGCAGCTGCAGTCCTGCCAGGCAGAGATCATCGAGCTGAGACGCACGGTCAATGCCTTGGAGATTGAGCTCCAGGCCCAGCACAACCTGGTGGGTGTTGTTCAGGGTAATGCCCATGCTCTCCTGAACCCGTGAAGCCTGTGACTTCTCTGGAACCCCATGGAGAAGCCCCCTGGGGAGTGGCTCTGTGACATTCTTTGTCTTCCTCACACAGAGGGACTCCCTGGAGAACACGCTGACAGAGACTGAGGCGCGCTACAGCTCTCAGCTGAACCAGGTGCAGTGCATGATCACCAACGTGGAGTCCCAGCTTGCTGAGATCAGGTGTGACCTGGAGCGGCAGAACCAGGAGTACCAGGTGCTGCTGGATGTCAAGGCCCGGCTGGAGTGTGAGATCAACACGTACCGGGGTCTGCTGGAGAGCGAGGACTGCAAGTGAGTGGGAGACAAAGAACTCTGGAAAACATGTGGTGGGACTACAAGACATTGTGGGCATATACATGTGGTCCACATTTTCAACTCACAAAACAACATGCAATTATAGAAGAGTCCACTAGGTGACAGTTAAGCAGATATTGAAGGTCAAAGATGAAGGGCATACATCCCTGCCTCAGGGAGCTAAGGATGGAGAAGTGGTGGTGGAGAGAGTGTTATGACAATAATTTCTGGGTAAGGTGGATTGTGTTGGCTCCATGAAATCTAAGGAGCATATTTTTCAAAAGGACAGTTTTCCACCTTAGCACATGGTATTCTGGGATGGGGAGAAGGATTTGGTAACAATAAAATTTGATTCCAACTATCATCAACCACTGAAAATTCATGGGTGTAATTCATAGGGCTCTCTCCACAACCATCCTCAATCCATTCTAAATCTCTGTGTCCTCCCAGGCTCCCCTGCAACCCATGTGCCACCACCAATGCTTGCGGCAATTCCTGTGGATGCTGTGGCAACTCTCAAACACGTTGCTCTTAAATAAGAACTTGCATCCTCTTTGAAGACGACAATGAAGCTATTCAGATCAAGCACAGGAAAGGTCCTTGGGTCTTGCCTTTGCTGGAGCTCAGCTGCCAATTAGAAACCTAGACATGCCAAATATATTTCTAGACATGGAAATTCTTTCCAGATTCAACAAGAAAAGACACACATCATCAACTTCTAATGTCTGGAAAATCCCTTCCTGTTGAAGTTTGAGTGTCTTTGTTTCTAAAGATGTACAGCTCCCTGTAATCCAAGCTCCAGGGTTTACTTTTAGGGCATTTTCTGTATGTATTGTGTTTTCTGCTTTTCTAGCTTCTTTGGTATTCTCTGGAATACAAGGAAGCTACTTCATATACTTCCCAATAAACTTTATTTCTCTGGCATAGCAAATTTGTTTCTCATTCATATTTATGCACTGTAAAGTATCTATCGTGGCTGTTTCCTAAAAATACCCCTTTGTTAAGATGAAATGGGTTAAATGATTGACACCAGCCATTATGTTCCAGGAAAATACTGAAGGGGAAGGGAGCCTGTCATCCTAGGAGGCTCCTACCAAGGGGAGACCATGCAGAAACCTGGCCTCCAACACTCATGCCCATCTTGCCTTGGCTGCAATGTCCTTGGCAATACTAAGTGTCACCTCAAACCTCACTGCTGCCTCTCATGGTGACCCTCATCACCAGGGGTTGATTCTCTGCTTCCCTTTCTCCCAAACTGCCTAAAGGCTGACTTCTGTAGAAACTACTCTTAAAGAGCAGCTGCCCTCTCCCCTTTCAACTTGTCTTCTATATCTAAATGAAGTATAGAAGCCTGGCTTTCCCTCAAAAATGTACCTTCAATGATTTACATAAATCCACACATTCTGGGTTTTTATTTATTTATTTATTCATTTATGTATTATTATTTTTTAATTGGAGTTAATTTGCCAACATATAACATATCACCCAGTGCTCATCCCGTCAAGTACCCCCCTCAGTGCCTGTCACCCAGTCACCTCAACCACCCGCCCACCTCCCTTTCCACTACCCCATATTCATTTCCCAGAGTTAGGAGTCTCTCATGATCTGTCATCCTCACTATTTTATATTCTCCAAATGAATGAGACCATATAATGTTTGTCCTTCTCCGATTGACTTATTTCACTCAGCATAATACCCTCCGGGTGCATCCACATCGAAGCAAATGGTGGGTATTTGTCATTTCTAATGGCTTAGTAATATTCCATTGTATACATAGACCACATATTCTTTATCCATTCATCTTTCGATAGACACTGAGGCTCCTTCCATAGTTTGGCTATTGTGGACATTGCTGCTATAAACTTTGGGGTGCAGGTGTCCCGGTGTTTCACTGCATCTGTATCTTTGGGGTAAATCTCCAGCAGTGCAATTGCTGGGTCGTAGGGCAGATCTATTTTTAACTCTTTGAGGAACCTCCACACAGTTTTCCAGAGTGGCTGCACCAGTTCACATTCCCACCAACAGTGCAAGAGGGTTCCCCTTTCTCCACATCCTCTCCAACATTTTTGGTTTCCTGCCTTGTTAATTTTCCCCATTCTCACTAGTGTGTGGTGGTATCTCGTGGTTTTGATTTGTATTTCCCTGAGGGCCAGTGATGCGGAGCATTTTCTCATGTGCTTGTTGGCCATGTCTATATCTTCCTCTGAGATTTCTGTCCATGTCTTTTACCCATTTCATGATTGGATTGTTTGTTTCTTTGCTGTTGAGTTTAATAAGTTCTTTATAGATCTTGGAAACTAGCCCTTTATCTGATACGTCATTTGCAAATATCTTCTCCCATTCTGTAGGTTGTTTTTAGTTTTGTTGATGGTATCTTTTGCTGTGCAAAAGCTTCTTATCTTGATGAAGTCCCACTAGTTCATTTTTGCTTTTGTTTCTCTTGCCTTCATGGATGTATCTTGCAAGAAGTTACTGTGGCCGAGTTCAAAAAGGGTGTTGCCTGTGTTCTCCTCTCGGATTTTGATGGAATCTTGTCTCACATTAAGATCTTTCATCCATTTTGAGTTTATTTTGTGCGTGGTGTGAGAATGCTCTAGTTTCATTCTTCTGCATGTGGATGTCCAATTTTCCCAGCACCATTTATTGAAGAGACTGTATTTCTTCCAGGGGACAGTCTTTCTTGTTTTGTCGAATATTAGTTGACCATAAAGTTGAGGGTCCACTTCTGGATTCTCTAGTCTGTTCCATTGATCTAGGTGTCTGTTTTTGTGCCAGTACCACACTGTCTTGATGACCACAGCTTTGTGGGTACAACCTGAAATCTGGCATTGTGATGCCCCCAGCTATGGTTTTCTTTTTTAATATTCCCCTGGCTATTTGGGGTCTTTTCTGATTCCACAAAAATCTTAAGATGATTTGTTCCAACTCTCTGAAGAAAGTCCATGGCATTTTGATAGGGATTGCATTAAATGTGTAAATTGCCCTAGGTATCATTGACATTTTCAGAATATTAATTCTTCCAATCCATGAGCATGGAATATTTTTCCATCTCTTTGTGTCTTCCTCAATTTTTTTCAGAAGTGTTCTGTAGTTTTTAGGGTAGAGATCCTTTACCTCTTTGGTTAGGTTTATTCCTAGCTATGTTATGCTTTTGGGTGCAATGGGATTGACTCCTTAATTTCTCTTCAGTTTCATTGTTAGTGTATAGAATGCCACTGACCTCTGGGCATTGATTTTGTATTCGGCCACACTGCCAAATTGCTGTATGAGTTCTAGCAATCTTGGGGTGGAGGCTTTTGGGTTTTCTATGTAGAGTATCATGTCCTCTGTAAAGAGGGAGAGTTTAACTTCTTTGCCAATTTGAATGCCTTTTATTTCTTTTTGTTGCCTGACTGCTGAGACTAGGACTTCTAGTACTATGTTGAATAGCAATGGTTAGAGTGGACATCCTGGTCGTGTTCCTGATCTTATGGGAAAGGATCCCAGTGTTTCCCCCATTGAGAATATTTCCTGTGGGTTGTGTCCTCCTCAATTTCTTTCAGAAGTGTTCTGTAGTTTTTAGGATAGAGATCCTTTACCTCTTTGGTTGGGTTTATGCCTAGGTATCTTATGCTTTTGGGTGCAATTGTAAATGGGATTGACTCCTTAATTTCTCTTTCTTCAGTCTCATTGTTAGTGTATAGAAATTCCACTGATGTCTGGGCATAGATTTTTATCCTGCCACACTACCGAAATGCTTTATGAATTCTAGCAATCTTGTGGTGGAGTCTTTTGGGTTTTCTATGTAGAGTATCATGTCACTGCAAAGAGGGAGAGTTTGACTTCTTTGCCAATTTGAATGGCTTTTATTTCTTTTTGTTGCCTGACTGCTGAGACTCGGACTTCTAGTACTATGTTGAATAGCAGTGGTGAGAGTGGACATCCTGGTCATGTTCCTGATCTTATGGGAGAAGGATCCCAGTGTTTCCGCATTGAGAATAATATTTGCTGTGGGCTTTTCATACTGGCTTTTAAGAAGCTGAGGAATGTTCCCTCTATCCCTACACTCTGAGGAGTTTTGATCAGGAATGGATGCTGTATTTTGTCAAATGCTTTCTCTGCATCTATTGAGAGGATCATATGGTTCTTGTTTTTTCTCTTGTTGATATGATCTATCACATTGATTGCCTTACTGGTGTTGAACCAGCCTTGCATCCTGGGGATAAATCCTAATTGGTCATGGTGAATAATCTTAATGTACTGTTGGATCCTATTGGCTAGTATCTTGTTGAGAATTTTTGCATCCATGTTCATCAGGGATATTGGTCTCTAATTCTCCTTTTTGGTGGGGTTTTTGTCTGGTTTTGGAATTAAGGTGATGCTGGCCTCATAGAATGAGTTTCGAAGTATTCCATCTCTTTCTATCTTTCTGAACAGCTTTAGTAGAATAGGTATTGTTTATTCTTTAAACATTTGATAGAATTGCTTGGGAAGCCATCTGGCTCTGGACTTTTGTGTCTTGGGACGTTTTTGATGACTGCTTCAATTTCCTCCCTGGTTATTGGCCTGTTCAGATTCAGATTTTCTATTTCTTCCTGTTCCAGTTTTGATCATTTGTGGTTTTCCAGAAATGCATCCATTTCTTCTAGATTGCCTAATTTATTGGCCTATAGCTGCTCATAATATGTTTTAAAATTGTTTGTATTTCCTTGGTATTGGTTGTAGCCTCTCCTTTTTCATTCGTGATCTTATTAATTTGAGTCTTTTCTCTTTTGTTTTTAATAAGGCTGCCTAATGGTTTATCTATCTTATTAATTCTTTCAAAGAACCAACTCCTGGTTTTGTTTATCTGTTCCACAGTTCTTCTGGTCTCTATATCATTGAGTTCTGCTCGAATCTTTATTAACTCTCTTCTTCTGCTGGGTGTAGGTTTTATTTGCTGTTCTTTTTCCAGTTCCTTTAGGTGCAAGGTTAGTTTTTGTATTTCAGTTTTGTATTTCAGTTCTTTCCAGTTTTTTGAGGGATGCTTGTATTGCAATGTATTTCCCTCTCAAGACTGCTTTTGCTGTATCTCAAGGATTTTGAATGGTTGTATCTTCATTCTCATTAGTTTCCATGAATCATTTTAATTCTTCTCTAATTTCCTGGTTGACCCTTTCATCTTTTAGCAGGATGGTCTTTAAACTCCACGTGTTCGAATTTCTTCTAAATTTCTTCTTGTGATTTAGTTCTAGTTTCAAAGCATTACGGTCTGAAAATATGCAGGGGACAATCCCAGTCTTTTGATATCTGTTAAGACATGATTTGTGACCCAGTATGTGGCTATTCTGGAGAAAGTTCCATGTACACTTGAGAAGAATGTGTATTCAGTTGCGTTTGGACATGAAGTTCTGTAAATATCTGTGAAGTACATCTGGTCCAGAGTATCATTTAAAGCTCTTGTTTCTTTAGAGATATTGTGCTTAGAATATCTGTCATTTGCAGAAAGTGCCGTGTTGAAGTCTCCCAGGATTAGTGTATTATTATCTAAGTATGTCTTAACTTTGGTTATTAATAGATTGATGTACTTGGCAGCTCCCACATTAGGGGCATAAATATTCATGATTGTTAGGTCCTCTTGTTGGATAGACCCTTTAAGTATGATATAATGTCTTTCTTCATCTCTTACAACAGTCTTTGGGATAAACTTTATCTGATATGAGGATGGCTACCCCTGCTTTCTCTTGAGGACCATTTTTAAAAAGATTTTATTTATTCATTCATGAGAGACACAGAGAGAATGAGAAAGAGGCAGATACACAGGCAGAGGGAGAAGCATGCTCCATGCATGGAGCCTGACATGGGACTCGATCCTGGGTCTACAGGATCAGGCTCTGGGCCTAAGGCAGTGTTAAATGCTGAGCCACCCAGGTTGCCCTTGAGGACCATTTGAATGGTAAATGGTTCTCCAAC